AGAGATAGCGAGAGAGAGAGAGAGAGAGGGTGCGAGAGTCACCTGTTCATGATAGGTCTACTCATGTACTTAAGTCTGCGTGGTCCTGGTCTTTAGGCTGACCTCATGCGTCATAACTTTAATGCGTTCATTTGGGGGCTTGTATTCCTTCGATGTGGGGATCGGCTGGTTGCAACTTACTGTACACGTGCGGAATCTACCGTCTGCGAGTCTACACACGCGGTTTGTATATGCCTGATGACCGTGTAGAAAGGCTGGGTTGAGCTTACACCTGTGTTTTACATTCATACTTACTCTATGGTCGTGCTGGTCCAAAGCTGTACACGCACCGCAAACCCCAGACAAAACCTAAAACTCTACAGCATGTTACAGAGCCGTGAGCCCTGCTCTACCGCGGCCCTAAACCCGACAGGACTGAACCAGTCAAAAAAACACAGTTGTAACACGTCAAACAACTCCAAGCATGTCCTACTGTAACCTTGATGATGGCAACAAGTATCACCGAATTTCAGAAAACAACAAGCAACAGAAATAATTGCTTTGCTCAACATTCCTTCAAGCGTAGTAGCGAGTGCACATGACACCGACGGCAAACTGTAGCAGCGACCCGCTTTGAAGAGAAGCAACAGGGCGCACTCATCATCGCTTTGGGGAGAATACCAAGCCTTTAAAAACCTAAATCATGCCCTAAACCCTAAACCAGGAAGGCCTACACAATAAACACCCTACAAGAGTTTGAACTTCTCAAAAACGCTGAAAACTTAAGAGCACCAACAATCCGTTGCACAAACACACAAAAACACACACACACACCGACCAACCAAAAAGAATGAAACGAAGAAAATCATAGGCGAAACATCTAAAAACCCTTGCAAGGTTGCTCAATGCACTAAACCCTAAACCCCTCAACTATCCTATCCTATCCTAAATCCCTAAACCCTAAACCCCTAACTCCCTAAACCCCTACAAAGCGAAACCCCTAGACCCCGAAACCCTGACCCTAACCCCTAAACTCCTAAAGCCCTCAAAGCCTCCCCGCAGCTGGCGTTCTGCTCGGGGTGCTCGGGAGGAGGGCGCCAGGAAAGCCGTGGCCGCTAAACCGCTGGCGAAGCCTTGCTTTTAAGGTTCCTTTAAAGGGTGCCATAGGGTTCTATAATCGGGTTCCCTTTAAAGGTTCCATGAGGGCACCTTTAAAGGGGAGGGCAATAAGGGTGCCTTAACCCATCTGGTTCAGGGGTTTAGGGCTTGGGGTTTAGGGCTTCGGGTTCTAGGGTTTTGGGTTTAGTGCTTTTTGGGGCTATAAGGGTTCCTTTGAGGGATCTAGAGTGCTTGGGGTTTGGGGTACCATGTTGGGGCCTTAGGGTTCCAGAGGGTTTTGGGTGATTAAGAAACACCTGGGTCTTTCTTGGGGTTCCTTGTATGAATCCTACTATTTGTGGGTTATAGGGCCAAGGTTTCTTAATCAGGTTCCTACATCATGATTTTAGAAGTATAGGGCTCTCGGGTTTAGGCTTTAGGCTTCAGGGTTTGGGGTCTAAAGCTTTGAGGGCTTGACTTCAATTTTTGAAGGTCTGTTAGCTTTGAGGTGTAGGGCTTTGTTGCTAGGGTAAAACAGCGGCCTTAATTGGTTCAATAGGGTTTCGGAGCCAATTATGCTATAAATATAATCAGGAACCCCCCCCCAAAATAGTATTATAGGTAAGTACTAAAGCCCCTATATTGAAGAACCCTAGTATAGATCCCTTATACAACCCTGTAAAGGAACCCCTTAAAGCTCGGATCCTGAAGGGAAAAATAGTACAGGTACTTGTTAGGGCCCCTATATTCCGCGGTCGGCGGGCCTTGGGGCTTCGAGTCTCCCCGTCTTAGGGCTGAGGAGTTTCGCGCTACTGTGGTGCAGGGTCTGGCCCGTCCAGAAATTAAATTTGCTTAACCCCCAAACTCTGAGAGTACAGCCTGTTTTCATCAACCCAGGGAGCCTGGGATACCCAGTAACCTAAGAATGGAAAGGCCTCTCTTTTTGGTATTGGGTAACTTTATGAGGAACCTAGGACTACAAAGAGGGAATAAGGGTACTACTGGGCATCCTAGGAGCTTTTGCTGCCGTCTTGCGGCCCGAGCCGGGGAGGCTTCAGGGCTTTGGGATTGGAGGCTTCAAGCTTGCTGTTTACGGGTTTAGGGCTTAGGGGTTTAGGGGTTTAAGGTTTGGGGGTTTAGGGTTTAAGGTTTGCGGGTTAGTTAAGGGTTTAGGGTTACTCATAGTCTCTCTCCCTCTCTCACCCACTCCCTCTGCGCCAAGGCCTGCCACGACGAAGCGGGAGTGAACCTATGCTGGCTGTGGTTTGGAAGGGCGGCTTTCAAGTTCACGATTTCCACTAAGGAGGCTTCGAACTTTCGAGTTGCCGGTGCCTCAGAGTCAAACCCTAAACCCTAAACCTCTAAACCCCTGCACCCTAGACCCTAAACCCCAAACCCCTAAAGATCACCACGACAGGCATCGCAACGACTTCGTACTTAAAGGATCATCGGACTTGGTAACTAGGGTTGGTAACCATACTTTAACCCAGTTAAGGTAATTTTTACCGTACTTCCTAAGTCCAATTATCCTCCATCTTCGAAGCTTATAGATCCCTTTAAGGAGCCCTTTATTATAGACCCCTAAAGTGCCCTTAAAGGAACTACTAAGTCCCATGATCCTCCGAATATAACCCACCTTAGCTCAGAGGCTGCCCCGAACTCCGAAGCGGGGACTCCAAATACCTCTGCGCTGTACTTGGAGGGTCGGGGGACTTAGTAACTGGCCATTTTAGGGACTTATAACTACCATAACCCCAATTAAAGTCCCTTTTAGGGTCCTTATAAGTCTACTTGCTACCTACTTACTGAGTCCCCCGACCCTCCAAGTAGGGGCCTAAATACCTACCTAGGGTTCCCTTTAAAGGGATCCTTCAAGGGGTCTACAAGGGATCTATAATAGGGTTCCTAAGTAATTACCACTACTATCTGGGGGGGGGGGGTGTTCCCAAGCCGGGCGCTTGGGGTTTAGAGGGTTTGAGGGTTGAGAGGTTTGGGGTTGAGGGATTTTGGGTTGAGGGGCTCATAGAGGATCATGGGGCTTAGTAAGTAAAGTTGTAATTACCTTCTTCGGGGTTATACGATAACCCTAGTTACTAAGTCCCATGATCCTTTAAGTAACCCCTAATAGACACCTTAAAGTACCCTTGAAGGAAACCTTACCCAAGACAGAGGCCGGAGTATCGCGCATGGATCAGCTTGGTGTCTTTTGCGTTCAGGTCTTGGGGATGTTCTGAAGCTCAGCTTCCCATACTAGCTATAGGGGCCCTTACTAATTAGAATCGGGTTTGGGGGCCATTATACTATAATCATGGTAAGGACCCCCCCCCCAAAAAAAAAATAGTAGTGATACTTAAGCCCCTCATATAGAACCCAATTATAGATCCCTGATAAACCCCTTGAAGGATCCCTTTAAAGGGAACCCTAGGGAATTATTTACGCCCCTATAGCAGGGTCTTGGGCCCAGGGTTTGAGGTTGTGCTTCGGGGCGTGGGTCCCGGGGCAATGCTTTCGTGCAAAGGTTTAGGATCAGGCAAGCGGAAGTTGCCCCTAAACCCTAAAAACCTAAACCCTAAACCCTAAAGACCCTAAACCCTTATATAACCTTAAAAGCCTTAACCCACAAACCGTGCGGAAGTTTGAGGATCAGGACGTGGGAGAACCGTCATGTTGCAACTTGTAGTGGTTCTCAGAGACTCCATCCCCCCATTTAAGGAATATACCTCATTAAATCATGTTAGGGATCCTACTTTGCAAGACCCGCTCTCTGACAAACGTCTAGCCCTAAGTCAAGCCCCAGCCGCAAAGTCTAAATCCAAGAGCCTGGCAGCTTCAAAGCCAAAGCGACCGAAAGAGCCCTCGACCAGAAGAAAGCCCAAAATAAATCTACGGAAATCCCATCTGAAAACATACCCTGGTCAATTCAGCCCTAAACCCTAAAGCCTAAACTCCGAAATTGCATCAAGTCCATGTTCCTGCAAGCAACGGGCGCCATGGGCGCGCGAGAAATGTCTCGGAAAGGCGGAGCTTGAGCTGAAAATCTCCAAATTTGACGCGCGACAAAACCGGTATGATGACCGCATCCATGGCACCCCCAATATAGGGACCTTAATAATTAGAATAGGGTTTTGGGGCCCATCATACTATTTTGTGCATAAGGAACCCCCCAAAATTGTATTGATAATTATTTAGGCCCCTAAACTGGACCCCCAAACCTATCTAAACTCATCTGGACCTGAAGCCCTGCTCCTAAACACTAAAGACCTGCACCTGCTGAAGTGCTACGGTAAGCCCCCATACGATATCATGTTGGTACTGAATAGTCAGACCGCTGCATTACGTAATCCTCACGCAGCTCTCTGGAGCCCTGTTCAAGAGCTGGTGTACACCCATTTGGGTAGTTGTCAAAGTTACGGTCCCTTTTGGGGTACCCTTAAATATATAGGTGCCGTATTATAATAGGGACCCAAACCGGGAGCCTAATTTTGACAACCACCCATTTGTAGCCCGACCCGTGATCAAGACCCTCTTCGCCAACGTTACTTAGAGGTTCATGGGCAGTTAGAAGTGGGATTCTAAGTAATTAGGGTTACCATTATAACCCATATTCTGGGGACTTATAATCCCACTTATAACTATCCATGAACCTCCAAGTAATCAGTACACCCTAAACCCTAAACCCCTAAACCCCAAACACAAAACCCCTAAACCCGAAACCCTAAACCACATAACATAACACGGCAGCCTGACCCGAGGAACCCTATCAGCGAGCTGAACTCTAAACCCAATCCCCAATCCTTAAGGACGAAATGAACCCTAAAAGGATTTATGGCTCAATGACCATATAGGGATTCACAGGTATAAGGGTTATAGGGCCCTACTTTTAAGGGTCATTTGGGCTTTAAGGATCTCTTAAGAAGCCCCACCTTCGTCATCCACGCCACGACTTGATTCAGCTCCTCACAAGAAGTTTAGCAGGGTTAAGAGGTTTTAGGACTTCGGGATCTTGGGAATTAGTATTTTTGCGGTTTCCCAAAGTTTGGGATTTTCAGTGGCTTTGATGGCTGAACGGTTAAGTGCGGAAAGTCAAGTGAAACAAACCGTTTGGGGTTAGAGGGGAGCGAGAGGTTGGGGTTTAATCATAGGGACCCCTTAGGGGGGTAGGGCGGAGGGGGGTAGGGGACTTCCTTAAACAGGCCTTACTACGTCCTTATTTTGGGTATTAAAGGCCCCCTACCACCTTCCCATATCCCTTATAGTACCGGTATAGTACCCGTATAGTATCCCTTTAAAGGAACCCCTATTCTAATTTTAAAGACCCCCTACCACCCCCCCCACCCCCCTAAGGGTCCTTACTTGGAGGGTCGGGGGAATTAGCAAGTAGGTAGCAAGTAGACTTATAAGTACCCTAAAAGGGACCCTAATTGGGGTTATGGTAGTTATAAGTCCCTACAATAGCCAGTTACTAAGTCCCCCGACCCTCCAAGTATGATTTCAGAACGGAAGCCCGGAGCAGAAAAAGGCAGGGTTTGGGGAGCAAACGTTAGCAGGGTTTAGGGTTTAGGGGTCTAGGGTTTAGGGTTTAGGGTTTAGGGTCTAGGGTCTAGGGTCTAGGGTTTAGGGTTTACGGTTTAGGTTTAGGGTTTAGGGTCTAGCGTCTAGGGTTTAGGGTTTAGGGTTGCGGTGTGGTGCAGTGCTCTGCTGAAAGTGTTGACATCATGGGGCAGGCAGCAAGAGTATGACCGTTCCTATTGCGTTTGCTGCTAGTGCTATGGCCACTATTGCACTCAACACTGGTATTGCTATTCAAAACCGCTGGATTTTTGTTTACACGTGGAGCAGAACATGGTGTCATGTAGACCCTGGCAATTCCGAATATAAGAATCCCCTTGTTTCTTAAACTTTAAACTGCAAACCCCAAAACCCTAAACCCTATAGAAAGAATCAGCTGAGGTAGCTGCTCGATTGCTCCAGGTCGGCACCGCTTGCCGCAACCCAACTTGAAGATCTTCGATGGGCACCTTCCGTGTTTGGCTGCTTCTGCCGGCATGTACAGGAATTTACGAGGGTTCTCTACGGGTGTGTTTTGCGGTTTAGGCTTGGGGTCTGGATTTAGGATGGTGGAAGGTTTGACGGTTCGCGAAGGTGAGCCCTTGTTCGGGCCATCATTCTAAACTCGACGCAAGGGTCCTTGTCGACTCCATAAAGCTTACGCCATAAGGCAATAAATGGGCCTTCGGATCTTTGTCGATTCCATAAACCTTGCGCCGTAAGCCAAGATGATGCTTTCAGTCAGCTACGACGAGAAGTCTCACCCAAACCTCTGTTTGAACCGCAGGCTCTGACTGCTCCTTCTTCTGCACAGCTAGGTGACTCCAAAGTAACTTCGAAACCCCTAAACCCCTAAACCCTAAACCCTAAACCCCTAAACCCCTAAACCCGAAACCCTAAACCCCTAAACCCTAACCCCTAAACCCTTAAACCCTAAACCCTAAACCCCTAAACCCCTAAACCCTAAACCCCTAAACTCCTAAACCTTAAACCCGAAGACTAGGATCCGCTGTCCCTGAAACCCTGAAGTCCACCTCAGAGCCCTGACATCCCCCAAATCCCAAATGGGAGTTTCCGGAAATTAGGGGGACCTTTCAAGGGATCTATAAGGGTTCCTGTAAGGTTCCTTAAAGGGATCTATAGTGTTTACAAGGGTTTGGGAGTTTTCGAAATTAAAAGGGGTACCGTAGTTTGGGGTCCTTATGATGTGGATCCTGCTAATTAGGTTACTATATTAGCGCTTGTTGCGGAAACTCCCGAATTCTGAGAGACCTGAAACCCTTGAGCCCTCAACCCTAAACCGAAAGCCTTAAATTCAAACCCCAAGGCCTTGAACCACAAACCCCTCAACCCGAGAATCCTTCAGTCCAAAAAACTCGAGCAGGGTTCCTTTGACAGGATTCCTTGAAAAACTGATTCTAGAAGGGTTACTACGCTAAGGGTTGCTACAAGGGTTCACAAACAAACTACGATCGGGTTCTGGGGGTATGTTAGTGTCTAAACCTATACTGGGACTAGCAAAGCCTACAAGCACTACGCCAGCACTCGAAATGTAACAACTTTCATTCACATTGCACGAATCGAGACACAATGATAGGTTATGCAACAAACAATAGCCAGTAGTCAATAATAAAGTAAATAAAAGTGCATGTTAACCCTAAGGGTCCAAGTAGTCCTTATTTATTGTTTTTGATACCGGGCAAGGCCCTAAATTCCTGTATAAAGGAGTACTTGGACCCTCTGGGTAAGGTTTGGATATCTAGAGTTGTGCCTCTCCATGACCGTTCACATCGAGGCTGCAGAAAGACTCCATCAAGTCTCTCTCCTGGGGCCACAGAATGTTTACGGTTCAGGGGTTTAGGGTTTTTTTTAGGCTTTAGGGTGAGTGGAGGATTCAATTTGTCAGGTTTGGTTTCAGGGATGGGGATTTTGGGGAACCGGTGTCTTCGTAGCGCGTGTAGCTGCACAGCGGTTTGCAGCATCACTGCTACCAGTGTAGAATCATAAACTGCTTGCACAGGAAAATCCACCTCTCCATCAATCTCGTTAAACACGTAGTAGCAGTATGGGCAGTAGTCGTCATGGCTTTGGAAAAAGTAGCTGCAGTCGTAGCCGTCGTCGTCTTCACTCGTCGCCGCCCTCGTCGTCGTCGTCGCTCCTCGTCGTCCTTCGTCGTTGATTATGCGCTCCTTCTACTGCACTCTCACCAGGCGAGTGAGCCCAGCAAGCTAGCTTTTAGGGTTTTGGGTAGACGATCAAAAAATGCTTGAACATGCACCGAGTCCCGTCTCAAACCGCGCCACCTAAGCCCCGATTCCCTCGCCTAAACTTGACTTCAGGCTCATCACGAACAACGCTGGATTCCAACCCTAGCAGGCCTATAGGATCCCGTCAAAACATATGAAATGAGGTGATATAATACTGTATAATACTCTATAGTATAATGCACCATAAGACAACATAACATGACAAAGCATATCAGAATAGTGTTTGAAAAAACATAATGCAACTTAACCCAATATGATGTAATATAAAACGACGTATAGTACACTACAATATAGTAGAATGAAATATATCAGAAAGACTATAATGTAATATTACCTAATGGCCATAAACATAACATAACTTAACAGATCATGACATAACTCAGCAGAAACTAACCGTTAAGTAGCATCACATATTTATACATGTATACATATAAACAATCAACCCGAAACCCCAAACTCTAACACTCGAACCACGAACCCTCATTCCAAGGGCAAAAGGAGGGACCCTTAATAAGGACCACTAGGTATATACCCTTAATACAGCTATTATATCCATTATATAGCCCATTATAGGGTAGGGGTCCCTCCTTTCCTCCTTTGACTCATCCGGCCTCCTGGGCAAAGGAGCTATGTCTCGCGAGGACCTCCTTGGAAGAGTGGCTCAGAGTTGGTCTGAAGCTTGTACCCTAAGGCTCCAAAGTAGTTCCTTTTTGGGGTTCATATATAGACTGCTATAAGGTAATCCCAAAAAGGAACTACTATGGAGCCTCTGGGTAGTAAGTGGTTTAGGGTTTCAGGCTTTCTATATTGAACTTGAACCCCTAGCCAAAACATGTAATTTTAGCTGCTTCTTAGGGAGTAGAGGAACCAAAAGTTAAGAATTATTTCTAAGTAGCCCTCAGGCTTCAGGTTCAGGGCTTAGGGTAAGGATGGGACTTGGCTTTAGGGCCTAGGGTTAGGTACGTTAAACGGCCTTCCTCTCAAGATCACGGCGGTACTTTTCGTATAGCGACTGGGGGCGGTAAAGGGTTCAGCATCTACCCAGAGGCTCCATAGTAGTTCCTTTTTGGGATTACCTTGTAGCAGTCTATATATGAACCCCAAAAAGGAACTACTTTGGAGTCTTAGGGTAGGGTTTTGATGGCTAGCGTAAATGGTGTAGGGCAAGCCTGCCTGGGACCAGACTCCAGAACTTCGCTACTTGGAGGATCATGGGGACCTAGTAAGTAAGGTTATATATAAGTACCTTTATTGGGGCTATAAGTATAGTTACCCTAATCATAACCCTAGTCACTACGTCCCATGATCCTTTCGGTAGGGTTTAGGGTTTCGAGTTCAGGGTTAAACGCTTAAGACTCAGGGTTTCACCGAAACCGAACACTCTAGCTCGTCTAAAGCCAAAACGGAAATTGCCCGGGGGCGACGCCAAAGTCCTAAAGTCAAAACCCTGAAAACCCGACCCCCCCCCCCCCCTACCGATACTAGGTTCCCCAGTAGGCCCATTATAATAAGGGTACCCTTTTTCTTAATATTCTGTTTTACTAGGGGAACCCAAAGAGAAAAATGGTAAAAGGGTACTACTGGGGAACCTGGGATAACTCGCTACACTATGCACAAGCTTCTCTGTATAGACCCTCAGCGACCTATACCCGAACCCTAAACCCTGAACCCTAAACCCTCAACCCCTGAACCCTAAATAAACCCTTAACCCCTCGACCCTGAACCCAAAGCATCCTCTATACCCTAAATCATCCTCTGCTGCTGTTGTGCTAAGGTGGTGAAGAGCATCTTCCGACCAGAGCTTCGCGCATTCCTTGGGTTTCGGGGGTTTAGGGTTTAGAGGCTTAGGGTCGAGGGTTTAGGGGTTTAGGGTTTGTGGATATGGGAGTTTCCGAAAATTAGGGGTACCTTATTTTGGGGTCCTTATAATAAGGGTCCTACTATTTAGGGTACTATATTAGGGTCCCCTATTTTCGGAAACTCCCATATAGGGTTGATAGGGTTTAGTGTTTAGGGTGTCGGGCTGTCGGCTCAGGGCAACCGAAAGCTTCAAGATCAATATGGCCATGGCCCTGGCAACTTCGAAGCGTTCACAGGGCATACTAGAGCGAATGCGTACTTAGCGGTTCATGGGTAGTTATAAGTGGGGTCATAAGTAGGGCAACCATAATGATGACCCATACTAGGGGACTTATAATCCCACCTATAACTAACCATGAGCCTTCCAGGACTTTGGGAAGATGATCTCCAGCGCAAACGAGATGTCAGGAGGTGACTTCCGATTTCATGATATCAGGTTCAGGGTTTAGGGCTCCTAGGGTTTAGGGCTCCTAGGGTTTGAGTGATATAAAAACCGAAGGTTCAAGCACAGTCAGCACAAGCAACGCAAGAACTCCAAAGCAAAATATGCTGCCAAATGAACTCCGATTCCACACACTAAAACAAAACCAGCAAACAACGCGACCTCGGGATTCAGGGTTTGAGGACTCAGGGCTTAGCGTTTTAGGATTTAGAGTTTAAGGTTTTAAGGGATCAGGGTTTAAAGGTTCAAGGCCAGGAACGGCTTCGGGTGCTCGTTCCTCGTACCCCGATTGATGTGGAAGTTTCCTCTGGAAATTTTGGGGTCCTTATAATCGGGATCCTACTGTTTAGGGTACTACATTCGGGTCTACTATTTTCGAGAACTCCTGTGTGTCTTACTGGCTGCAGGCTAAAACCCAAAAGCCTGAACTCCGGATGCTTAGTTCAATCCTTGCATCTCAATTGCCCAAACTCACCTTGTCGAGCGGCTTCAGCATGACCTTTCGAATTCGCAAGAACAAACCATGGCCTTATTGCTATGTCGTGCCCTGGGATGTATGCGCTGCTGTGCGGTGATTCAACCTGGCTTGCGTACTCAGTTTGGCATCTCGTGTTGTGAGTGCGGGCTGTGCTCCTAGTGTGGCAAGACAACCTCCTGTGTGCTGGTGAATCCGTCGAGCGTGCTTGTTCAGCACACACGACCCCTATCATACTTGGACCGGCATCCTCACACCGCAGCGCCACACACGTCCCTCAACACCTCCATCCGAAACTTTGGAATTCTCAAGCCTAATTAGCGGTATACCGATAGGCCGCTACGTGCTGCCGAAGCCATCAGGCTTGAAAGATCAGTCAGGAGAACAGCAACATGTATGTAGGTAGGCTCACTAGCAAGGCAACGTTTAGGAAACCTAAGCCCCCAACCGTGAACCCTAAATTCTCCACCGGTGGTTTCACACATTCAGGCTCCAGGCTGGGGATCAAGGGAGGTTGCCTCATATTATCTGCTCCTTAAAGGATCATGGGACTCAACAAATAGGGTTGTAATTATAAGGTAACTATACTTATAACCCAAATTAAGGTACTTAAAACCTTACTTTACTAAGTCCCATGATCCTCCAAGTCGTCGTGCTCAGAAACCTGTATTCACACAGAAGTGCCACGTTAAAACCCTCCGGAGCTGTCCCATGCGGCCTCAGCACGCTCCGGCTTGAGTGTCATCGCCTGCCTCGTGGCTTAAACCAGGGATAGCACTGCAGTTGACTATATAGTTTTCCCTTTGTTGCAAACTGCTTGAGAAGTGGGATTGTCGCCGTCGTGGTGGCCGCAGCCGTCAAGCAGCAGCAGCAGCAGCAGCAGCAGCAGCAGCAGCAGCAGCAGCAGCAGCAGCACCACAGCCGTAGAAGAAGAAGCAGTAGCAGTGGTCATCGTAGTCGTAGTAGTCGTAGCAGCCGTCGTAGTAGGTGGTGGTGGTCGTGGTAGTCGTAGTAGTCGTGGTGGTGGAGGCGGCAGCAGCAGTTATGCTCCGTACTAAAGATTCGAGTAAGTAGTGCTGGTTTGCTTGGAGAACATCCTTTCGGAGTTTGTAGTCGTACCTGACACGGCTGTAATTCGTCTCAAGGTCCCTAACTTTAAATGTTGTTAAGTTAGGATGATAGCTCGTGTGTTTCTCTCTTTTGCCTTGATGATTTCCACAAGCTGCCAAATAAGTACTTCACCGCTCTTTCGTTCACGCTGCGAGCTGCAAAACCTCTGAACCCTGAGCCTGAAACCAGGAATAATGAGGTAAGCCTGAAACAGGAACAATGAAGTAATGATGGTCAAGGAAAATACAGATACCATCCTCCCTACTGAAGCTACCTTTCCGGCGCGGCCAGCCACGACGACGCCAGGGCAGCATCTGCAGTAATCCTGGCTTGGGTTTAGTGTACAGGGCTTTCCGGTTTAGGCTTACGCAGGGTTTAGGGCTTAGGGGTGGGCGGTGGCTCGAGGCTTGCAAGCCTTTTTGTTGATACTTTCGAGGTCAGGTCATAACAGCGTTATACGGGAGCCTGACTAAGAAACCTTGGGTCTTTATCTGGGAGTCTCCGAAAGTAGGATCCTTGTTTTAAAGACCCCAAAATAAGGTACCCCTAATTTTCGGACACTCCCATTAGGGTTCTTCAGCTCTTTTGATGGATCCGACTTTTTCTGGGTTCTGACACCAGGGTTTCTAGACCAGGTTCCCACATTGCGCAGTGTTTCTCGGACTCGTTGTTCAGCATCCCGTTTTCAGGCTTTGCGGATTAATAGTACAATCAAGGTACACAGACTGAAGGTTTCAGCAGAGTTGCTCAACATCTGAGGCCTTCATTGCTGTTGGTTGCATGAACAAAGGCTCCGTACCGTCAAAACTTAAAACCCAAGCTCTTTAGAAAAGCAGGGTTCAGGGGCTTAAAACTTGTTTTTGAACTCATAGGTCTCAGACTTGAGGATTTCGAATTCAGACCGCCGTTAAAGACAGTTGCATTTTCCAAACCTGCACATGCTTTCGCACTGTGCGTTGCCACATTCGTGCGGAATCGCCGAATATGCTGCCTGATAAACAGCGCAACCCAGTGGAAATGTGAATGACCCGGACAGGACAGGGATTTGCTGGCTGTGCGACTTCAAGCGTGCCAAGAGCAGTAATAGGTGCTGGAATAGGCGCGGCTGTGACTATTGTGGTTGATGCTCCTGCACCTGTTGCTACCGGCATGAATCGCACCTTTGTCGTCGTTACTGCTTACACGATTGTGCTCACTTCTCAACAGAAGTACTACTTATTCGACAAAGTCTAAAGCAGTCGTCATTCGAACGGGAAATGCTTCTGGTGGTGGAATGCGACGAAGCTCTTCTTCTTCTTTGCATCGCTAGTCGTGATCGCGGTGGTGGTGGTGGTGGTGGTGGTGGTGGCGGCAAGCTGCCAAGGTTTCATTGTGGTAATCGTGCCGCTGGCAGTAGCAGTTGCACTGGTCGTGGCGCCGGTAGTGGGGCAGCTTCTGCATTTTGTCTTCGTCGCTTGTTGAATAACGTTGAATCATAGGGACTTAAATAGGCCTTATTAAGTCCTGATTATTATAGGTATCAAGGCCCCCTACCCGGCCCCCCTCCCTCCTACCCCCCTAAGGGTTCCTATGATGGAATGTGTGTTCGTTGATGATGTTGTAATTCTTCTCTGTTCTAAGAAACTTGTCGGTGCATCTGCTGAATCTGCCGAGGACCACGATCACTGCGTTGGCACGTCATCGTCGGGGTGCGCCGAGTACTTGGAGGTTCATGGGTAGTTATAAGTAGGATTATAAGTCCCCTAATATGGGTCATAATTATGGTTACCCTACTTATAACCCCACTTATAACTACCCATGAACATCCAAGCAGTGTTCGCAGCAGTGGTACAGTACTAGAAGTCGTGGTCGTTGTCGTCGTCGAGGGCACAAACAAGGTCATGAACGAACAGAGTGACTATTCAGACTATTCGACTATGTTGTGAACAGAGTTTGGATTTTTTTAATTTTTTTTGAAATTGTCAATAAGGACAATTTTTCAAAATACTCAGAGTTAGCCCTAGAAGCCCGGAGAGTCGGAGAAAAGCTGCAAATCCAGGATGGACGGTCGGGGGCCATCCCCAGAACTCCACTAAACCCCTAACCCCTAAACCCGAAACCCGAAACCCTAAACCCCTAACCCCTAAACCCCTAAACCCGAAACCCTGAGCCCCTAAACCCTAAACCCCTCAACCCTAAACCCGAAACCCCGAGATCCGTAAACCCTAAACCCCTCAACCCCTTAACCCGAAACCCTAACCCCTAAACCCGAAACCCCGAGATCCCTAAACCCTAAACCCCTCAACCCCTAAACCCGAACCTCTAAACCCTTAAACCCATAAACCCGAACCCCTAAACCCCTAAACCCATAAACCCTGAAGCCGAAACCTTGAGCTCGCTAACTGTCCCAGTCCCTCCCCAGACGGGCCTCGTCTGATAGGAAAGCCCCAGAAGCTGCTCCAATAAGTCCACAGCCTTTGCCATAGTAAGTGCGGTTTAGGCCTTAACCCTAAGGCTGCATGTACCCATATGGTATATATATATATATATGTATACTTAGGCCTTAAAGTACCTACATAGGGACACCTTTACGGCTTAAGTATCTACTGTAAAGGTACAAGGAGCCTTTGGGTAAGGGCTTCGAGTTTAAGGTTGAACGTTTAGGGTTTGGGGGCATTGCATTTTGGAGCTCGTAGTCTATGCTGAAAGGCAGCGAAAGGTCTACAAACAGCATGCAGCCATCTGCTGTGAATGATGACGGTTGAAACTCTTTTGGTGCGGCAATGGCCGAGCAGAAGCGTGGAAACCCTGCAAAAACAGACTCTGCGACCACCACATTGAAATTCAACATCACGAAAGCCGACATGCAAAACCCAATAAACCATTCTAAACAAGCCGAATCCCCAAACCCCGAAAACCCTCGAACAAAAACACCTCGTACGAAGCCGTCTAGATTCCCCACACAAACCTGTATGGAACCTCCTAACCTTTCCCCTAAGGGTCCAAGCATCTAATAATCATATACTCTCCCATATGGTGACCTACATAACTACTATCCAAAACCCTATAAACCCTACACCCTAAGCCCCTAAACCCTAGACCCTGAACCCTAAACCCGAACCCCAAAACCCAAGCCCCTGAACCCTGACCCCTGAAACCCTAACAACCTAAACCCCTAAACCCTCAACCCTAAACCCCTAAACCCCTAAAACCCCTAAAACCCCTAAAGCCCTAAACCCCTAAAACCTCTAAAACCCCTAAACCCGTAAAACCCCTAAACCCCTAAAACATCCTAAAACCCTAACCCCTTAAACGCTATAACCCCCTTCCCAGAGACTCCAATACCCCTTAATTAGGGAATATTCCTTAAATCATACTAAGGATCCTATACTATAACTTAAGGTATATTCCTTAATTCAGGGATATTGGAGTCTCTGGGTATAACCCCTTGAAGCCTTCGGAGCTCTGGCGCGCTCTTCGGCGCCGATGGGCAAACTTTGCCCTGCCTTTCAAGTCGGGGAGCCGGGGCGCAGAGACTCCAATACTTGGAGGATCATGGGACTTAGTAAGGGTTCCTTAAAGGGCTCCTTAAAGGGATCTATAGGGTTCCTTAAAGGGATCTATAGGGTTTAGGGTTGAGGGTGCTACTTGGAGGATCATGGGACTTAGTAAGTAAGGTTACAAGTACCTTAATTGGGGTTATAAGTATAGTTACCCTAAATATAACCGTAGTTACTAAGCCCCACGATCCTCCAAGTATCCCTTAATTAAGAAATATACCCTTAAATTATAGTAGGATCCTTAGTATGATTTGGGAATATTCCCTAATTAAGGGGTATTGGAGTCTCTGGGGGGAGTGGTTTAAGGGGTAATAAAAAGGGCCTTCAGCATAGGGGTTCCTTTAACGGGTTCCTGTAAAGGGCTCTATAAGGGATCTATAAGGGTACTGTAGGATAGGGGCTTTAATAAGTAGCATAGAGCTTTGGCTTAAGGGGTAATAAAAAGGGGCCTTGATAGTTAGCATAGAAGTTCCTTTAACGGATTCCTCATACAGAGGTCCATAAGGATTACTACAATAAGGGCTACTATAAGGAAGTCTTATAGGGGCCTTAATAATTAGCATGGGGTTCCGGGATATGATATTGTATACTTTAGATATAATAAGGACCCCCAACAAAAGTGATGTGAGCTTGCAGGATAGGCTGATAGGGTTGTACAGGTAGCAGTAGCAGTTTAACAGGTTTTAAAATAGGATACTTAGATTACGTACAGCTCCTGTCTGACTTTGAGTTCGACTTGTCAGCGGAGCGCATGAAAGGTTGTGTGCAACGTGCTGATTAGACTCTTTGCCCAGGCTTCGGTTCGAGTTCGGCAGTACTGGTGCGGAATGTAGGGACGAAAACAAGCCAGATGCGACAAGATCACAGCCACTGTGCAGGCATTTGACAATGCAGATCACTCGTTTGCATCGCAATCAGAAGTCATGCCGTTGGAAAGTCACCGGCTGCAGCATAGGTCGCGCACAGCTTGATGCCAAAAGGCCATCCACCAGTCGGAAACAGCTGTGGAACTGGGACGAGAACAGGGACCTTCAAACTGGTCGTGGATTCGCTTCCATGCTGCCTCAGGCAAGCTTCGGTGATCGCCGCTGCAGTAGGCTCTGACGGGAGCGACATCGCGTGTAGACGACATGCAGGGAGCACTGTGTGCGTGGAATCTGTCATGGATTACCTTCCATGCTGCCTCAGGCAAGCTTCGGTGATCGCCGCTGCAGTAGGCTCTGACGGGAGCGACATCTCGTGTAGACGACATGCAGGGAGCACTGTCTGTGCGGAATCTGTCATGGATTACCTTCCATGCTGCCTCAGGCAAGCTGCGGTGATCGCCGCTGCAGTAGGCTCTGACGGGAGCGACATCTCGTGTAGACGACATGCAGGGAGCACTGTCTGTGCGGAATCTGTCATGGATTACCTTCCATGCTGCCTCAGGCAAGGTGCGGTGATCGCCGCTGCAGTAGGCTCTGACGGGAGCGACATCTCGTGTAGACGACATGCAGGGAGCACTGTCTGTGCGGAATCTGTCATGGATTACCTTCCATGCTGCCTCAGGCAAGCTTCGGTGATCGCCGCTGCAGTAGGCTCTGACGGGAGCGACATCTCGTGTAGACGACATGCAGGGAGCACTGTGTGCGTGGAATCTGTCATGGATTACCTTCCATGCTGCCTCAGGCAAGCTTCGGTGATCGCCGCTGCAGTAGGCTCTGACGGGAGCGACATCTCGTGTAGACGACATGCAGGGAGCACTGTGTGCGTGGAATCTGTCATGGATTACCTTCCATGCTGCCTCAGGCAAGCCTCGGTGATCGCCACTGCAGTAGGCTCTGACGGGTGCGACATCTTGTGTAGGCGACAAGCCGGGGGCACTGTGTGCGTGGAATCTGTCATGGATTACCTTCCATGCTGCCTCAGGCAAGCTTCGGTGATCGCCGCTGCAGTTGGCTCTGCCCCTGCTGACTTCCGCATGCCGCACTGGGGAATGCGATGACTTCGAGATAGGGACAGCTTCCCTCTGAAATCTGTTCCGGATACCCTTCCACGTGTCCTGGATCCGCTTCCATGCTGACTTACGCAAACTTCCCTGGTCGACGGTACAGGCGGCTGTGCCTGTGATGGCTTCGCCATCTTGAACCTGCGAACGCGCAGACTTTGAGCAATGGGCAGGCTGTCCCCGAAACTTCTCATGGATTCGCAGCCAAGCTGTCTCAGGCAGGCTGCGGTGATCGCCGATCCATTCGGCTCTGGATGCGTTGGCTTCGACAGCTGGACTCTGTGACTTTGGAGACAGCAAGCAAGGGGCAGTTTCTGCCTGAAACCTGTCATGGATCCGTTGCCACGCCGACTCAGGCAAACTGCGGTGATCCCCCGCAGAACTGCGTGCGGCTTTCTTGCCAGGGCGCGCGGCGTCAAGTCTCTCATTGACTGTCCTTGGTCCCCATGAAACAAAAGGATGTTTTCATTGGCTCCGCTGGACTCACGTTACTCGGAAACCCAATTCGAAACAAAAAAGGATCCCCATTACACCCTCCTCGGAAACCCAATGCACAACAAAAGTAGTATAATAGGGTCCCCGTTACACCGAGCTTCTCAAACCTCAGAAACCCACTTCACAAAAGCAGGATCCTCACTACACCGAGTTTCTCAAACGCTTCTGGTTCCGGTGGTGGCTCTGAAGCTTTGGGCACCTTCTTCACAGGAGGTCGATGGGACCAGGGATCCTCCTTCAGCACCTGGGTTCTCGTCAAGCGATTTAACCCTACATGTAGCCGAAAAAACCTACCTTTTCAAGGTACTATATATAGAAACCATAATAAGGAACCCTTAAAAAGTAGGTCTTTTCGGCTACAGGTAGGGATCTAAGTCCTATATTAAGGCTTTTGGGCCCAAAGACCACACTACACAAGGCTTCTGGGCTATTTAGATCCCTAGGGTAATTTAAGGTAAAAATCATAAAATAAGGAAACCACATTATTCATTATAGGTCCCCATTATGGTAACTTGAATAAAACTCCTTTAACAAGAACATAGGCACCGGTTCGGAGTTCCTCCGCAAGGTGACCCATCCGCACAGGCCGGTAAGTCCATATTCCACGTGAGCTGACTTGGTGCACACCTTGGGGAGTACATGAACCCCAAGGGTCCTAAGTACAGTTATGAGAGGTAGAAATTCCTCATAAAAAACCCTACATTCTACTTTATGGGAGTTTCCGAAACTAGGGGACCCTAATATAGTATCCTAAATAATGGGATCCTTAGAATAATGACCCCAAATTTTGGGAAACCCCCATATAGGTACTTTGGAGCTTGGGGAGTACATGAAGCACTTAAATAGTCCAAGTCCCAAGTCCGGTCCCCATGTATGGGTAGCTGTCAAAATTATGGACCCGTCGGTTTAGGGTTTAGGGACCCTGTTTGGGTACCGTAAAGATTAGGTGCCGTATTATACTAAGAACCCCAAAAAGGACCATAATTTTGACAACTAACGTATGGACATTATCATACCCGGGTCCAAAGTACCGAGACAGAATGTAGGCTTTCTCTAGATTGTAGAGTTTCTAAGGAATGATAGTCGCATGTAGGGTTTCCATGTTAGGAACTACTAGTATGATTTGAGGAATCATCTCCCATAACAATTCTATGTCCAAGTCAGTGTTTAGGGTACATGGGCATTACCGAGGCAGACGTACCATCGCCCATTTCCGAGTTCGTGACCGCTAGAAAGTAAGAAGTTTTAGTGTTTGTGGTTCGGGTTTAGGTTCATGTTTAAGGTTTGGGGCTCCAAGCCATAAGTCTTTCAGGCTCGGTAGTGTAATCCTGCGAAATAGTGCACTCCAAAACCCCATTCCTGTTGGAAAGGCCCTTCCTACACCTTAAACCCTTCGTCCCCACGGCACCTCGTGGATCGTCACGAACATGCCCTCCCGTAGGAGCCCCAGAATCTCTGACTCTTTGCATTTGGCAGCTCGTACCTTCAGGACCAAGTGAAACCCAAAAGAGCTCGCGGTTCAAAACTCCCATATCGTGAATATAATGTAATTCGTCTCCCATGTAGAGAACATCGTCTACATAGTCAAAAAAACATGGAGGCCCCTAAACCCCAAACCCGTAAACCCCTAAACCCTAATTTTTGTTCAGGCTATTTCTTCCTTTCTTCCCTAAGGCACCTCCACCTCCTGCAAGACTTTGGCTCTCCCCGGACGTAGCAACGGCTCCTGCAAATTGACTGTCCTTGTCCTTGGCCCCCATGAAACAAACTGATGGTTTTCATTGGCTCCGCTGGATGCACGTTATTCGGAAACTCAGTTCACAACAAAAACAGGATCCCCATTACCTAGAGACTCCATAGTAGTTCCTTTTGGGTTTCATATTTAGAACTCTACAAAGTACTCCCAAAAAGGAACTACTACGGAGCCTAGGCCTATGGGTACACCGAGCTTCTCAAACGCTTCTGGTTCCGGTGGTGGCTCTGAAGCTTTGGGCACCTTCTTCACAGGAGGTCGATGGGACCAGGGATCCTCCTTCAGCACCTGGGTTCTCGTCAAGCGATTTAACCCTACCTGTAGCCGAAAAAACCTGCCTTTTCAAGGTACTATATATAGAAACCATAGTAAGGAACCCTTAAAAGTAGGTCTTTTCGGCTACAGGTAGGGATCTAAGTCCTATATTAAGGCTTTTGGGCCCAAAGACCACACTACACAAGGCTTCTGGGCTATTTAGATCCCTAGGGTAATTTAAGGTAAAAATCATAAAATAAGGAAACCACATTATTCATTATAGGTCCCCATTATGGTAACTTGAATAAAACTCCTTTAACAAGAACATAGGCACCGGTTCGGAGTTCCTCCGCAAGGTGACCCATCCGCACAGGCCGGTAAGTCCATATTCCACGTGAGCTGACTTGGTGCACACCTTGGGGAGTACATGAACCCCAAGGGTCCTAAGTACAGTTATGAGAGGTAGAAATTCCTCATAAAAACCCTACATTCTACTTTATGGGAGTTTCCGAAACTAGGGGACCCTAATATAGTATCCTAAATAATGGGATCCTTAGAATAATGACCCCCAATTTTGGGAAACCCCCATATAGGTACTTTGGAGCTTGGGGAGTACATGAAGCACTTAAATAGTCCAAGTCCCAAGTCCGGTCCCCATGTATGGGTAGCTGTCAAAATTATGGACCCGTCGGTTTAGGGTTTAGGGACCCTGTTTGGGTACCGTAAAGATTAGGTGCCGTATTATACTAAGAACCCCAAAAAGGACCATAATTTTGACAACTAACGTATGGACATTATCATACCCGGGTCCAAAGTACCGAGACAGAATGTAGGCTTTCTCTAGATTGTAGAGTTTCTAAGGAATGATAGTCGCATGTAGGGTTTCCATGTTAGGAACTACTAGTATGATTTGAGGAATCATCTCCCATAACAATTCTATGTCCAAGTCAGTGTTTAGGGTACATGGGCATTACCGAGGCAGACGTACCATCGCCCATTTCCGGGTTCGTGACCGCTAGAAAGTAAGAAGTTTTAGTGTTTGTGGTTCGGGTTTAGGTTCATGTTTAAGGTTTGGGGCTCCAAGCCATAAGTCTTTCAGGCTCGGTAGTGTAATCCTGCGAAATAGTGCACTCCAAAACCCCATTCCTGTTGGAAAGGCCCTTCCTACACCTTAAACCCTTCGTCCCCACGGCACCTCGTGGATCGTCACGAACATGCCCTCCCGTAGGAGCCCCAGAATCTCTGACTCTTTGCATTTGGCAGCTCGTACCTTCAGGACCAAGTGAAACCCAAAAGAGCTCGCGGTTCAAAACTCCCATATCGTGAATATAATGTAAAGCGTCTCCCATGTAGAGAACATCGTCTACATAGTCAAAAAAACATGGAGGCCCCTAAACCCCAAACCCGTAAACCCCTAAACCCTAATTTTTGTTCAGGCTATTTCTTCCTTTCTTCCCTAAGGCACCTCCACCTCCTGCAAGACTTTGGCTCTCCCCGGACGTAGCAACGGCTCCTGCAAATTGACTGTCCTTGTCCTTGGCCCCCATGAAACAAACTGATGGTTTTCATTGGCTCCGCTGGATGCACGTTATTCGGAAACTCAGTTCACAACAAAAACAGGATCCCCATTACCTAGAGACTCCATAGTAGTTCCTTTTGGGTTTCATATTTAGAACTCTACAAAGTACTCCCAAAAAGGAACTACTACGGAGCCTAGGCCTATGGGTACACCGAGCTTCTCAAACGCTTCTGGTTCCGGTGGTGGCTCTGAAGCTTTGGGCACCTTCTTCACAGGAGGTCGATGGGACCAGGGATCCTCCTTCAGCACCTGGGTTCTCGTCAAGCGATTTAACCCTACCTGTAGCCGAAAAAACCTGCCTTTTCAAGGTACTATATATAGAAACCATAGTAAGGAACCCTTAAAAGTAGGTCTTTTCGGCTACAGGTAGGGATCTAAGTCCTATATTAAGGCTTTTGGGCCCAAAGACCACACTACACAAGGCTTCTGGGCTATTTAGATCCCTAGGGTAATTTAAGGTAAAAATCATAAAATAAGGAAACCACATTATTCATTATAGGTCCCCATTATGGTAACTTGAATAAAACTCCTTTAACAAGAACATAGGCACCGGTTCGGAGTTCCTCCGCAAGGTGACCCATCCGCACAGGCCGGTAAGTCCATATTCCACGTGAGCTGACTTGGTGCACACCTTGGGGAGTACATGAACCCCAAGGGTCCTAAGTACAGTTATGAGAGGTAGAAATTCCTCATAAAAACCCTACATTCTACTTTATGGGAGTTTCCGAAACTAGGAGACCCTAATATAGTATCCTAAATAATGGGATCCTTAGAATAATGACCCCCAATTTTGGGAAACCCCCATATAGGTACTTTGGAGCTTGGGGAGTACATGAAGAACTTAAATAGTCCAAGTCCCAAGTCCGGTCCCCATGTATGGGTAGCTGTCAAAATTATGGACCCGTCGGTTTAGGGTTTAGGGACCCTGTTTGGGTACCGTAAAGATCAGGTGCCGTATTATACTAAGAACCCCAAAAAGGACCATAATTTTGACAACTAACGTATGGACATTATCATACCCGGGTCCAAAGTACCGAGACAGAATGTAGGCTTTCTCTAGATTGTAGAGTTTCTAAGGAATGATAGTCGCATGTAGGGTTTCCATGTTAGGAACTACTAGTATGATTTGAGGAATCATCTCCCATAACAATTCTATGTCCAAGTCAGTGTTTAGGGTACATGGGCATTACCGAGGCAGACGTACCATCGCCCATTTCCGGGTTCGTGACCGCTAGAAAGTAAGAAGTTTTAGTGTTTGTGGTTCGGGTTTAGGTTCATGTTTAAGGTTTGGGGCTCCAAGCCATAAGTCTTTCAGGCTCGGTAGTGTAATCCTGCGAAATAGTGCACTCCAAAACCCCATTCCTGTTGGAAAGGCCCTTCCTACACCTTAAACCCTTCGTCCCCACGGCACCTCGTGGATCGTCACGAACATGCCCTCCCGTAGGAGCCCCAGAATCTCTGACTCTTTGCATTTGGCAGCTCGTACCTTCAGGACCAAGTGAAACCCAAAAGAGCTCGCGGTTCAAAACTCCCATATCGTGAATATAATGTAAAGCGTCTCCCATGTAGAGAACATCGTCTACATAGTCAAAAAACGTGGAGCCGCCTACACCCCAAACCCGTAAACCCTAAACCCCTAAACCCTATAAACCCCTAAACCCTAATTTTTTACAGGCTAGTTCTTCCCTAAGGCACCTTCACCTCCTGCAAGACTTTGGCTCTCCCCGGACGTAGCAACGGCTCCTGCGCAGAACTTCACGAATGCTACGGTTCAGGGTTTATAGGGTTCAGGGCGACATAAACATTATCTCGCGCACCTGCCCAGAGCGATAGTAGAATGTAGGGTTCTATAATTAGTCAGAATTCATATCGTGATTTGAAGACGTATCTCGCATAACAGTACCAAGGACCCTCAGGGACAGTGCTGGCTTTGTGGGCCCACAGTTCTGGTCGATTCTAGTATACTTCGAGGATCATGGGACTTAGTAAGTAAGGTTATAAGTACCTTAATTGGGGTTATAAGTATAGTTACCCTAATTATGACCCTATAGGTGCTAAGTCCCATGATCCTTCAAGTGGTATACCATATTATGTTCCATTGTAGTTGTTATTATAGTTTATTACAGTATATTCATGGTGTATTATAGGCGTGTCCTCCGGTGGGAGCTTCTCTTGGACTTTCGCCTTTCCCACGCTGCGCCGGCCGAGCAACCGTGGATCGTCCGCATCGGCGCGGCAAACGGCCGCATGCAGCGTTGCGGGATCCATGGCCGCTCGGCGCGCAGCTGAAAACAAGAAGCCGCCGAGTCCGGATTCAGACTAGCTGGGCTATCAGAGGCCTTGAGGCTTCGGGAGCCATGTGGTATGATGACATCACCACACCTATAGTCTCCATTGTAGTTCCTTTTTTTGGTTATCCAGTTTTATGGTTAGGACCCTATAATAGAGATTTTGGTTAACCAAAAAAAGGAACTACAATGGAGACTATAGGCAAAGCACAAACTGCAACGTGCGCTAGACCCTAAACCCGGCAGTGTGCAGACGGTGCCTCCGCAAACTTCTCGTAAGGATCGTCCTGGCCATAGTTGCACATCCTGAGCATGGGCCTACGCTACATAGCCCCTGGAATGCTGCTGAACCCTGAACCCCAGGACCCCCCTAGCAGGCCCCGAAACCCTGGAATTTCTATCAGGAATTCTAAGAAGCCTTGAATACTTCAGCTCCGCGAACTACTACAAATGCCGAGCGGCTTCTGCAAAAAGTCTTGATGCGAGCCGCGGAAATCCTGCTCCAAGTCCAAGGCAAGCATCACCACAAGATAGAACTCTATAGTACGTCATTACCGCCATCTTGGTTCGGACGTTCGTTGTTGTTAGCATTATCATGCCTCGTGTGACTCTTGGCAAGAAAGAACCCCATGCTTTCCTTACTTCTTGTCTTGTTACCCCCAAGACATTTTCTCGCACATTCAATCTTTTCTGTTGGCACCGTCATTACTGCTCGTGCTCACTGTACTACGGCTACGAGAACTTCAGAAAGCCTAGATCCTAAACCCGTGGCCTTTAAAACTGTCACCATACGGGTCTCAGCCTAGCCAAAGAAACATCCAAGCCCTGAACATTTAGACCCATGATCAACCCACTCGGCTTCGTCAAGGGTCTTCATGTGAGGAGCCCTGCCAAACCTAGAGGGAATTAATGAGGAGGCGACATACGCAATAGTATGGCAATCAAAAAAGTGTTGAATGATGGTCGGACCGCTGTTGAAGAGGCCATGTGAGAAACAAACAGGGCGTCTTATCACACAGTATGTTAAAGGAACTTATTGTAGTGAAATTATCTGACCTAACAGCCCTATCTTCAACCTCACAAACAACAAAATGTCTACTTTTACGTATAAATCCCATCAAAGCTCAAATAGTCATACAGTCGTACTGCCTATGTTCGAACCGCAAAACCCCTGATGAAACAGACACTCTGATTCTGCATACCTTTCCGTAAGGGTCCATGTACCCAAGTAGTGTATATCTTGGCTCAACAGTGTCTACTTTAAGGCCAACGTACATACGATTTGGGTACAGAGACGCTTAAACCCCAAACTAAACCCTAAACCCTATAGAACCCTTATAGAGCCCTGAAAGAACCCTTGAAGGAACACCATGGACCCTGGGGCTTTTAGATAGACCCCTAAACCCTAATCCCCTTACCCTTAACCCTAAACCCTATTCGATTACATGGATCCTTAAGGTTTTTAAAGGAACCCTTATAGAACCCCTGTAGAACCCTTACAGTAAAGGAACCTCATGGATCCTTAGGACCCTTTAAAGGAACCCCATGGATCCTATAGAACCCTTATAGGCACCCCATCGATCCTTAGAACCCGTCGGGAAAATGGAGGGTTTTTAAATTCCCTTCGTGTGGCCTGTAGGTAGGGGAGCCGCAGGAAAAGCATCTCGTGGAGCGTGGCACCAAGCATCCTTCGGTTGATGATAAGGGACTTTCTGAAAATTTGGGGTACCTTATTTTGGGTAAGGGTTCTATGATGCTCCTCTTAAGATCCTTCGGTTGATGATAAGGGTTTAGGGTTACCTTCGGTTGATGATAGCAGGCTACGGAACCTCCTAAACCGGAATTAGAAGGGTGAAGAACTATGAAGCCCCTTATAACTTAAGGTATATTGCTTAATTAACCTTCGGTTGATGATCACCAACACCCAGAGAGCCCAATACCCCTTAATTAAGGAATATAGCTTAAATCGTAATGTGAAGCCCAAGGTATATTGCTTAATTAACCTTCGGTTGATGGTATGTAAGCCCAAGGGTCCAAAGGAAGGGTTTAGGGTTTAGGGTTTGCTAGGATAGTAGCTATGTAGGTTAGGATTTTCGAAAGTATATTCCATGTTGGCATGAACCGTATGGGAGTTATGGTATATTCCTTATTCTGGGTCATGCAGGGTTTATATCATCAACCGTTTCTTCACACTTTTAGACGAATATGGGGGCCTTAATAATTAGAATAGGGTTCTTTTTAAGAGTCCTTATGGGGACGACTATAAGGGATCTTTAAAGGGTGTATAACATAAGGTCGATAAGGGCTACTATAAGGGCTATCATGGGGGTTTAGTTCAAGGGCCTTAATGATTAGAATAGGGTTCCTTAAACGGGGCCTATAAGGGATACTCTAAGGGCTAGTATGGGGGTTTACCATAAGGGCCTTAATGATCAGAAGACGGCTCTATAAGGGCTACTATAAGGGAACTTGATGGGTACTATAGGGTTCTACACGTTTAGACGACCAGCCAAATCCTTCTTTGAAACTTCCGAAAAATCAAGTGTACCTTATTTGGGTGTCCTTATAATGAGGATGTAAGGTACTATATTAGGGTCCCCTATTTGCGGAAATACCGTTGAAATACATGTTTAGACTACCAAAACCTACTTGGAGGTTCATGGGTAGTTGTAAGTGGGGTTATATAAGTAGGGTAACCAGAATTATGACCCATACTAGGGGACGTATAATTAATTAACCCCACTTATGGTTGTGCGCTGTGCGTTCTCGGGCCCCCCCCCCGAAGCCTGGAGGCCTGGAGGACTCCCGCTACAGGGCGCCGCATCGCGTATTGTACCCCGCCCCGCCCGCGACGCACCCGCGTAATTTCCACAGTAAGGATGTCGGATAGGGTTTCGAGGCAAAACTGAGTAAAACTATTCCTGCTCCGAAGGCCTCCAAGCAAGCAGGGCTTCCTGTAAAAATGTTCCAGGGCAAGGCTATGTAAAATTCCTTAGAAAAGGGTTCCAGGCAATAAGAGTGGAACGGAGGCTTAGCAGGAGAGCATGTGCGGAGAATGCCATACATACACAGATGTGTGTGTGTGTGTGTGTGTCTCAGAGCAAAAGGCAACACCATCCTGTTCCACAGGGGGGGAAAAAGAAAAGGCAAACCATGCTGTTCCACAGGGGGGGGGTGGGGGGGGGAAATAGAAAAGGCAAACCATGCCGTTCCACAGGGGGGGCGGGGGGCGGGGAGAATACATGTCGATTACTTATGAAAATATATAAGAGTTGTGTGTGTGTGTGTGTGTGTGTGTGTATGTGTCTCAGAGCAAAAGGCAACACCATCCTGTTCCACAGGGAGGGGAAAAAAGAAAAGGCAAACCATGCCGTTCCACAGGGGGGGGGGGGAAATAGAAAAGGCAAACCATGCCGTTCCACAGGAGGGGCGGGGGGCGGGGAGAATACATGTCGATTACTTATGAAAATATATAAGAGTTGTGTGTGTGTGTGTGTGTATGTGTCTCAGAGCAAAAGGCAACACCATCCTGTTCCACAGGGGGGGGGTGGGGATATAGAAAAGGCAAACCATGCCGTTCCACAGGGGCGGGGAGAATACATGTCGAGTACTTATGAAAATATATAAGAGTACCTAACAGGATACCATAGGGGGGGGGAGGGGGGGGGGGCCCGGGCCCGCTGGGGCGCAACCACTTATAACTACCCAAGAAACTTTGCAGGCTCATGCAGGCTCTTGTGTACAGATGTTATAGTTGACACGAAGCACAGCCTGGTTTGTGTAGTTACTACCTGGACTGGACCCAGTAAAACCTTGCGTATGAGCATTCCCTACTATGATTTCCTTACATAAAACCTGAGCGCGGCAGGTTATTTGGGGTCCAGGGGTGTTAGATTTAGGCTTTTTAAGGCCACGGCTTCGGGTTTCATCGGGTTTTTTGTTTGGGGCGAGGAGTTTAAGCTTGCCCATCCCTTGGGCCCCGGTTGTCTAAGGAGTGGCTTATATACTCTATACTGAGCAAAGGGAGTATACCAAACAGAAGCTTCGATTCATCTATAAGTACTGCCAAGTACTGGGGTATATAACACATGGTTAGTAACATACTATGTCGGCAACTAGAGCCCTAGGGTATGTGTGTCTGTCGTATAGAACATGCGGCCTGCACGCAGTGGCTTTCTACGACTTCTGTCCCAAAGGATCCATGTACCCAACTTGAATATACCTAGGCCTTAAAGTAGTCCCTATATTGGTACTTTGGGGCCAAAGCATAAGGATGCTTTGGGTATGCCTCCTATTTCTCCATCGGACACTTACTCAAGACAAGGACCTCAAAGGGAGACCTCAGATAGAACAGCCCCCAGGTTTTTAACAAAAACAGCCTTGGTCTCGGGTTTGGGGTTTAGCGGAGGACTCCTACCTCGCCCCAGGAGCCCAATTACCTATGTAGTGGGCTGCTGTCCCTGACGTATTAAAGCCGTATATGTAATACCAAAACCAACTGGTTCGTAGGTTAACCCTACTATAGCATTCTTTTGTATCAGACGGTAGGTTTTGGTGGGCCTTACCCTAGACCCTAAAAACCCTCAACTGTATGCTATGGTACCAAAAAACTGGATCCCACCGGTAGTTCTGCAGCAGAGGAGCCAGATATCCGTGGCGTGCAGATAGTCCAAAGGAAGCTGCAATTGCGGGTAGGGCTCGATGAAGCACTGCTCCTCACTTGAGGTGTTTCGGGTTTAGGAGTTAGGGTTTGGGGTTTAGGGTTTAAAGGTTTAGGGGTTTAGGGGTTTAGGGTTTAGGGTATAGGCGGTATAGGGGTTTAGGGTTTCGGGGTTAGGGGTTGGGATTTAGGGAATCAGGGTTTAGGGTCTCCTGACTGAAAAGGGTTGTCTGGGGGTGGCGCCTTTTTCAGGATGCAGAACTTTACAGCTAATAATCCTTCATTTCTCCCTACCCTCTTCCGTATGCAAGAGTCACCTTCAGACTTTCTGACGGGGTTCAAGGTCATAGGGTTGAGTCGATAGGGCTTAGGGCCTTAGAGCCCCTCATGCCTCAGCCATTTTAAGGCCATTGCTCCAAAATGTCGGAAATCCTGCGCCGGGCTTGAAATATCAGATCAAGCATGGCAAAGCCGAGCCATGGTACTTCCGATAAGTAGGTAGCCATATTTATAACCCTTATAAGAGAACTTAAGGCCACACTGATAACTACCCATGAACCTCCAATTAAGACCCCAAGCCCTGGAACCCGAAAGCCCTAAACCCTAAACCTTGAAGCCCCTCCAAAGGAGCCGTTAGAGGGAACCCTACTATGGAACCCTGTAGTACCCTTAAAGGAACCCTATTCTAATTAGGAGTTGGGGCTCCGAGCGTGAACTAGCCAACGATGGAGGTTTGGGGCAGCATCCAATCGACAGGCCGCAATCGCACAGGCAGAGCCCTGACTCAGACAGGATAACATACCTGTAGTCTCCATTGTAGTTCCTTTTTTTGGTTAACCAAAATCTCTATTATAGGGTCCTAACCATAAAACTGGATAACCAAAAAAAGGAACTACAATGGAGACTATAGGTAGAAGCCGAAATAATTACCAACATTATTCCTTAGGGTTCCGTAGTATGTTTATACTATAAAGGGACCCAAAACCCTACTCTAGACATTAAGGCCCCTACAGTAAGCTCCTTACCCAGGCCCGGCCCCCGCGTATGGAATTGGGAGCAGACCCGCACATCCAACCTTTTGCATCGTCCTCCCGAAATCTCCTGTACCTGCAGCCCTATGCCATCCCCTAAACCACCGAAAACCTAGCATGTTCAAGGACTTTATAAAAAAAAAAAAAAAACAAACAATCATAATACGGAGTCGTGAAAAGATAGCTCTTCGGCGTCTTCGGGGGGTGAGGTCAAGCCTGAACTCCCCGCCAGGCCTCAAGCCGGAACTCTCGAGCCCTAAACACGTAAAGTCTTAGAGCTGCAGTATCCCTTATAGTGTCCTTTTCTTCGTTCCTGAGCTCATAAGCCCCCAAAAAGTGTACACTTGTAGTTTTATAATAGGTAATACTATCCCAAAAAGTGTAAAGTGTATCCACTCAGCTACCAAGTTTTTGGCAAAACTTATAGAACCCTTATAGTTCTGCTGTACGGACCAACCCTCCCTGCCACCTGGTGTAGCTCTGGAGCGGCATACCGGGGATCCCCCTGAGTTGGAACCAAGGTGTAGGGTTCAGGGCTTTAGGATTTAGGGTTTAAGGCTTTGGGGCTTTAGGCTTTAGGGCTTTAGGGTTTCGGGCATCCACCACTACGACGACGACGCTGAGGTTCAGGATTTAGGACACTGGGCTTTTTGGGTTGAGGATATGGAGCTTATCGGGCTTAGGAAATTCAAAGAATAACCACGGCCACGGCAAACATTACAGTCTGTCGCTGCTGGTTTGTTTCAAACTCTAGATTCGATGTCATGTAGCTGAGATGCTGCCGTGTATGACAGAGAGGGCAAACTATAGCCACGTCGGCAGAAACAGTCCGGATGCGATCCCGGGCATTCTCTACCCAAACCCTAAGACTCCAAGTATACAAATAGTACCTACTTTGGGGTGTAAAGTCTATATATACTACCTACTTTGGGCTACTTGGAGTCTTAGGGAAAGCCACCTGACTGATGGAAGGAATTCGCAAACAACTTAACTTCCTGGAGCTGCTGGGGAAGGACAAACCCTAAACCCCTAGACCCTAGACCCTAAACCCCCAAACCCGTACAACCCCAAACCCGAACTGTGATCTTTTCAAACAGCAGGCTACGAGCTAAAGTTCGGGTTTTCTTAATGCAGGGGCCTTAATAAGTAGGATGGGGTTTAGGGGGCTCCATATTACACTTATGGTATATAGTATATCTTAAAACCCCATTCTATATTAATAGACTGACCTGGAAAAACAAAAACTCGCGCACCATCGACCAACAACACATCGCTCCCGTTGTGCCAGGTTGCCATCGGTATGAAGATGGTCTCGCCGGTAGGGTCCGTCTTCCTCAGTACTTGGATGACCCAGGTGCATCTAATCAAAAAGTCACAGCTTGTGAGACACTGCGAGCAAGCTTGTTGTAGATGAACATTGGGAATAGCAGACCAAGCACGTCCAACTGCCACAATGTAGTGTGTGGCTGCGGCTGCAAATGTTGGACAAAAACAAGACACAGCGCACCTAAAATCATTGTTCTACTCCCAGCCCTAGCTCGAACAGGATTCAGATCAAAACCCCCCTTAAAGGAACCCGTATAGTACCCTTATAGTAACCTAAGGTATTGGAGCCGTTCTAGTGCCGAGGCCCCTGACAGTTCTCGTGCTCCAAGCTGGTGCAGGTGCAGACAATGCGAGAACGCGGTGCGTCGGTTTTTAATACACCCATGCATTAGAAGCTGCCCCCACCCTGTAATAGTGACTATAAGGATTATATTAGGCCCCTATTATATTCATATTATACCACTATTACAGGGTGGGGGCAGCTTCTAACCCATGCACTACGTTTTTTTAACAAAACAAACCTATGCCAGGCGTCTGTGCGGCGTTGCCAAAGTCCGCCAGCAGAACCGCCGGAGGGATCCACTCCTCATCCTCGTCAGGGAGTAGCCCGAACCCTAGACCCTAAAGCCCTAAACCCCTAACCCCTAAACCGCTAAACCCCTAACACCCTTAACCCGTCAAGCCCTAAACCCGTAACACCCTAAACCCCTAAATCGGCTTTCTTCGTTCTTTGCTCGAGGATGCGGACGGGGTCGTGTTCCGTGCAAGGCGACAAAGGACAGATGCTAGACCGCTACACAATCGATCCAAAACTTGAAAAAGCATGGTACAGGGATACTGTGATTCTTTATTCCTAAACCCTAGAAATCCCACTCTAAAGCCTGGTAAGAGACTTTTCAACCACCTCTTCTTTTTTCAAAAGCTTTTACAATAATCCTTATGAGACGTTTTACACCATTTTTTCGCTATTACAAGCCTTATGAGACCCTACTTAAAGGATCATGGGACCTAGTAACCATAGGGTTATAACTAGGGCAACTATACTTATAACCCCAACTAAGGTAGTTATAACCTTACTTACTAAGTCCCATGATCCTCCAAGTACAGACTCTGTTCTGGTGGCCACACCTCGAAGAGAGCTCCCTGCCCAAACAGCAGGACGTTCTCCGGCTTGATGTCCTTAATGTGGGGTTCCTGTACGGGTTCCTTTAACGGGATCTTTAAGGGATCCATAATAGGGAGCTACAATGTAGGGGCCATAACAATAAGAATAGGGCTGTGGGGTATATTACGTTATAGTTAGAGTAAGGCAGCCCAAAAATATTATAGGCCATCTGCTTCAAGTGGCTTTTTGGGTTTTCAGAGCTTAGGGTCTAGGGCTTCGGGTTTGAAGAGAGTCTACATGGGTAGTTGTCAAAATTATGACCCCTTTTTGGGGTACCCTAAATATTCGGTGCCGTACTATAATAGGGACCCAAAAAGGGACTGTCATTTTGACAACCACCCATATGTCTGGACCCTAATGCCCAATAGCTTCGACAGCATGATAGATGGTGTTGTCTACATAAACAAGCTGTCTGGTGCATGCTCCACAGTGTGTACAAGTCTTTGACCTGGAACTGACCTTTAACGGCGAAAGCACCACCAGCAGAAGAGACGATACATGTCAATGTACGAACCCACAATGTAAACAACCATTGTACCCTGAGCGCCTCAGTCTCTAAAAGCCTGAGTTACCTTACTACAACACAAACCCTCAAAGGGTCCTATGTACTGTTATGGGGAATTCTTGCCCAAATCATAATAGTAATTCCTCATATAGAAACCCTACATTCTACTATTTTTGTACTTTGGACCCTTTGGGACCCTAAAGAACCCATCAGCCATGAAACCTCCAAGCCCCTGAACACTATGTTTTCCGTTCAACCTGTAGACTCGCAAAGCCTGCAAGCCCTACAGCCCTACCTTAAAGCCCACAACACCCAAACCCTCGTGAACTCCTTTAGGAATCCGTCATAAAGCACCTGCAAAAGCCTCATAAGCTCTAATAGCCTTCTGTAACGGAAGATGAAACCCTTCTAAAGCTACAAAGATCGATGCAGATACATAGGTACATCTATATATATATATATATGTATATGTACATACATATATATATATATATATATATATACATACATACATACACATATAAATACACAATATATACATATATAGACAGATAGATATATATATATATATATATATATATATATAGATAGGTAGATAAATTGTACACACACATACACATGCATGTACATGTATCAAATATCATATATACATATATATACACCGTTAGATAAATCAGCAACCCCCAAGCGCAAGTCTGGCCCGGTCGCTGCGTGGACCAACCTGTGCTTGACCTCGGCTTCATCGCGCGGGGCAGAACCCTCAGGGTCCATGCACCCAAACAAGGTTCCTTTAAGGGCTCCTTTCTTTAAGGGCTCTGTATGGGTTCTATAGGGTTTAGGGTATAAGGGTCCATGGGTACATTGGGCCCAGAGTATATACTATTTGGGTAATTTTGGGTACCCCGACGGTTAAGGCTAAGGCCAGAAGAGGATTTCGAGCGGCCGCTAAAGGGGACTGAAGGGGCTCTATAATGAGGTCCCCGTTAGAGGGCAGAGGGTTCTGTCATAGGGTCCGCTTTAAAGGGTACGATAGGGCACTTTACGGTTTACTGGAACCCTCTATGTGAAAGGGTGATCCTTCCTTACTTCACATGGCTTCAAGGGAGTGTAGGGCCTAGAGCCTAGGGCTGCCGGCTTACGGGCAGATGCTTAAACACAGGGTGTAGAGAAATTAGGGTTTGGGGGTGTAGTTAAGGGTTAAGGGATGCGCAAAGACAACAACAAACAGCAACACTCACGTCGGGTGGGATTGGTCTGACTCAAAGAACTGAATGCTGGAATGCTAGGCTGTCCGCCCACCTTTCAAGCTTCTATGCTTCTGATGCTCAGACGTACACACTAATAGAAACCATCCAGCCCTGCGTCCCTCCCATACATCAACAAGGCATCCTGAGACCGCAAACTCGAGGAGTTAGTGACAGGCAATCAAAGTCCGCCCGAATGTCATGATAGTTGAAACCCTAACTCTCACCTTAAGGGTCCAAGTAGTTCCTATTTATAGGTTTTGGTACCTAAAAAGGACCTAAAGTCCTATAATAGGGAGTACTTGGACCCTCTGGGTCATCTCCTCAAAGCGAGGGCTTATGCAAATATATGTGCCAAGTCTCATGGCAATGCCGCAGCGCACGCCTTGGAATTTGTGTGTGCGATGGCGAGTGTACCCTGGACACCACAGTGTTGGAAGGGGCCCCGTCGGACGCAGCAGAAAACTCTGAAGTCCAACAGTAGGCAAGGTTTTGGTAACCGAACTTGGGATTAGATCTATCTTTGAGGAACCCACCAAAGCCAAAACCCTAAACCCTAAACCAAGGCGCAACAGTTGTTGCGCCACGGAGGCCACCCATCGCACACTGGGTGGCCGCCCTTCGCCCCGAGCATGGGAGATGACCTGAAAACTGCAGTACAAGGTGGCTTAAACGGTTTAGGGTTTAGGGTTCAGGGTAAATGATGATCAGGATCTTACAGAGCGTTATAAGTGTTGTCTGATCTTAGTGGGGCTTAAGATAGGAAGGGGCCTTAATAATACTCAGGTTGCTGGGACATACGCTCCGCTTATGGAGGTGCTCAGCTCTTTAATGCTACGGTGACAGTATCCTAAACCCCAAACAGCAAACCCTAAACCCAAAACCCTAACCCAAAACCCCCAAACCCGAACCCCAAAATCCTAAACCCGAGCCCCATAGAAGTTCGACCTTTCTGAGACCTTCTGAACTCCGTGGGGAGATGCGAAATATTTTCTTCAGCACCCTCGAAGCGCCAAGCCCCACCATATCCACGATTTAGGGTTTAGGGTTTACTAGACCCAAGAGTAACCTAGGAATAAAAAGGGTGCCCTTTTTGGTTTAAAGGGGCTTATAAGGGAACCTGAACCCAACGAAAAGGGAATAAGGGCCTACTCTAGGTCCTAGTTTAGGGTCGAGGAAGAAGAACCAGCCTTACCCCGCAGAGTGGGAAGTCAGAACAATTTTTCCGAAGTACACCGTCAAAGAGGAGTCTGTGCCTCAAACGTTGACGTGAAGGGCGGACCCCAAAAAGCACATAAGCATAAGCGTTTTAGGGGGATATTCCTACCTTATTGGCCTTCCCGTTAAGGGGGTTTGTATGGGACATCCATATCCTAAATTGTGCTTATGTGCTTTTTGGGGGGCCTTATACCCTAAACCCCACACCCTTTACCCTAAACTCTATACCCTAAACCCTAGACCCTAAGCCCTAAGCCCTTCTGGGTCAGGGTTTTTGTCGCTTGTGGCTGTGCTTTAGAGGCTTGGGTCGATGGGTTTGTGGGTCTTATAGTAGAAGCCAGAAAGTTGTAACATCACTATCCCCATGCCCTTAACGGAAAGTATCAGGGATCCCAGCACTGCTCCTTCGAAGCCATGTTCCGACTTTCTGGCCTCTACTATACATGGAGGTTCATGGGTACCCCAAAGGGTTCTAAGTACCTAAATGGGGCATACTTCCCCAAACCCTCATAGTGCTTCCTAATATAGAAACCCCACATTCTACTATATAGTTACCTAGGGCCCTTTGGGTATGGCTTGCTACATAATGAACCGTCCTAGTTCTAGACCTCACGCCGACACCGAAATCCCGAAACCCTAAATCCCTGCCCGGCACTCCCTGCACCCACTTCCCAAGCTCCTCATGTCCAAAATTCGAGTAAGCAGATTACTCCGGTTTTTGGAAGACTCAAAAGGTTGGATGAAGGTAGGTAGGATCAAGGATCCTTTCTATCAGGCCCCTTATTCGGGATTACCCCACCTACCTTCATCCTAACTTTTGAAGCCCCTGAGGTTTAGGGTTTCTGAACGAGGAGCTTCGCATCTGACGTTTGTATGTGTGCGTTACTTGGCCCGGCACCTGACCCAAAGGCTCCATGTACCTTTATAGTAGGTACTTAAGCCTTAAAGGGGTCCCTATATAGGTACTTTACTAGACCCAAGAGTAACCTAGGAATAAAAAGGATGCTCTTTTTGGTTTAAAGTGGGGCTTATAAGGGAACCTGAACCCTCAAAAAGGGAATAAGGGCCTACTCTGGGTCCTAGTTTAAGGCCTAAGTATATACCATATGGGTACATGGAGCCTTATAGGGTGAGGTTTCAACCAAGTTCCCCATGAGCATGGCCAGGGCCCTGAACCAAAGCATCCATGCACCCAAATAGGATTTAGGGTTTAGGGGTTTAGGGTGTATATACTTTGGACCCAAATTACCAATATAGGGACTACTTTAAGGCCTATATGTATATACGAATTGGGTACACTTTGGGGAAGGAAAGCTCAAAAGGCAAAACCCCCGAGGCGCATAACTCTCAAACTCGAACCCCAAAACCCAAAGTCTGCGTGCCGTCTGATTCCACGGTTTTGGCTGCGGGAGATCTTGGTAATCGGGTCCATAGGTGTACATCGGGTGATGGGAGGTTCTCACATAAGTTTCTGCCCCCCGGTTAACAAGGCTCAACTAGTCAGTGTCATAATTATATCCCGTACTTCCGGAAGCACCCAAAACGTGACCACATTCACTTGGTACCATGACCTGCGCTACATCGACCTGCGTTACAGATATCCCTTTCGAGGGCAACTGCTGCCCGCCACCGAAACGGGATGCTTGGAGGATCATGGGACTTAGTAAGTAGGGTTATAAGTACCTTAACTGGGGTCGTAAGTATAGTTACCCTGGTTTAAAACCCTATAGTTACTAAGTCCCATGATCCTTTAAGTAGACCCTAAAACCCCTTATAATAGAACCCGTATAGATCCCTTTAAAGGAGCCCTTCAAGGAACCTTAGTTACTAAGTCCCGTGATCCTTTACGTGCAGAAACTTGGGCCAGTACGCGGGAAAGCTCGCCGCCTGTCTCCACCGAGAACACACGCAAGACAACATGCCAAACCATGATACCCAAAGGGTCCTATGTACTGTTCTGGGGACCCAGAAGCCCTTCATGAACATACATTAGTCTAGGGTATAGGGTTTAATTAGGGTATAGGGTTTAGGGTATAGGGCTCCCAAAAGCACATAAGCAAAACATAGGATAGGGATATCCCATATAACTCCCCCTTTATAATGAAGCTGCCCAACAAGGTAGGGATATCGCCAGAAAATGCTTATGCTTATGTGCTTTTGGGGTCCCGAATAGAAGACGGAGATAGTTGCAAGAATTCCGAGATTAACGGGAACAGCATTGTTCCGAACATGTGTGTGATCTCCACGATGCATCTTGAAGCGAGCATGCCTTGCAACTGTGCTCCACTGAACCACATACGCAACTGTGGATGCGGGTGGCAAACAAAGCGGGGGACGAAGATGTCCGTACATATTCGTGGATATGTATATGAAGGTGTGTGTGTGTGTGTGCATGTATTATGTATATATATATATATATATATATATATATATATAGAGCATGCTCTAGACTCTAGACACACATGCATACTTGGCAGTATAGTGTCTGCATCTTGGCTATGAAAGATAGTACGGAGGCAAGAGGCATGTCGGCGGTCGGATAGGAGGTTTCGGGTTTTCTGGCTTCGGGATTGAATGTATGGTGGTTTAGGGTTTAGGGTTTGAGCCTGAGGTTCGTTTTGTTGGAGGGTCGGCAACATGTACCTTTGGGCCAACGCAGAACATGCAGTCTCAAACAAGCCTTCCGCCCACTCCGCAATGACGTATACGTTCAGAATGTCGACGAAGTACTCTCGAACCTGGCAAACCGCTCAGGGTTAGGGCGGGGGTTTACTGCTTAGGCATGCCTAGCAAACAGCCTTTGAGGTTGGTGCCACAAGCTCTTGGGTTCAGGCTCGAGGGGCTTGGCTGAAGATTCATGAACGTTTATTGAGTAGCTTCAAGTGCCCAGCCTTCAGCATGACCTCTATCAACCACAGAGGCAGTTCGGTCTAAGGGTTTAGGGTTTAGGGTTTAGGGTATCGGACTGTTTCAAGTTGGGCTGAATTGAAAGGGTATATCGTGCAGTGCAAACAAGCCTCCAGCTTTTGTCTCTAGCCCTTACAACTACTTCCCCTGCTGCTGCTACTACTGACCGTACGTTTTATAGTACTGCTCATGCTCGCCACAACTAACGATTATCTGACTGACTGACTACTGACTAACTAAAAAACTAACTCCCCGAACAACCGAGCCACCCACCCACCCACCCACCCACCAGCCAATCAACGAACGAACGGAGTAAGTAAGTAGCTAACTACAACAGGTACTACTACTGCTGCTGCTACTACGACTACTACTCCTACGGCAAAGGCCTCCAGGCCAAAAAAACAGACAACGACAAGAAGCACACATCCTGGTTTCTGATTCTGACACTAGAGCAGATCCATGGTCACCTTGTGCAGATCCATGGTCACCTGCCCGGGCGCGCCTGAAGAATGTTCGGATGACAAAGAGCACTGGTGTGCTGGAATTCGGCGAGGATGGCCTGGACCAGAACCCAAAAAACCCACGGTTTCAGGACTTGCGGCCTTCAGGCTTTGCATGACTAGAAAAATTTGGAGATGAACGGTTTAGGGTTTAGGGTTTAGAGTTTAGGGTTTAGGGCTGTCAATTTTACAAGTTTCATGTCGCTGAGCGTCGATGCTGGGCGTACAAGGTTGAAGCATGTTCTTGCCCCATAGGTTCTGAATCAGAAGCTCTTCGCCAAGCAGGACACGACAACACCCCTAAACCCTAAACCGCCAGAAATCGAAGTCCTAACTTCGGGGCCTGACTGGTTCGATCAGGGTTGCTTGAAGGGCTCCTAGCAAAGGCCGTGAATAACGGGTTACTACCAGGGTATCATGCAAGGGCCTCAATAATCAGAACAGGGCGTTTGGGATTTTTCCCTTGTGGGAAAAGTACCCCTCGTACAGAAAAGATTATATAACCTTTTGAGGTATACCCTAAACCCTAAACCCTAATAGTACGATTACACAAGCCCCCAAAAGGGTAGAGGTCACCCGCTCAGCCCCTCAGTTTATATGGGAGCTTCCGAAAACTAGGGGTACCTTATTTGGGGGGGTCTTTATAATAAGGATCCTACTATTTAGGGTACTATATTAGGGTCCCCATTTTCGGAAACTCCCATATTCTACCAACCCCTAAACCCTTCTATGCTGCAAGTATAAGCAAATTGGGGACAATTCGGCGGACCGCCACCTTCAGGGCCATGTCGTTTCGCCTCTGCTGCTTTATGACGCAACCTTGGGAGAGCGTGTCATGCAGCATACAGGATTTGGGTTCAGGGTTTAAGGCTTATAGCTTCGGGTTAAGGGGGCTATGGCGAATTACTATAGGGGCCTAAATAATAACCAATACTAGTTGGAGGTTCTTTATTGCAATTATAGTATAAACCCTAATTATTAAGGCCCCTATATACCAAACCCTTATATTGAGTGTCCCCAAGAGGCCTGTGGATTTGAGCTATATAGCTATCAATAAATATATTATAAATATATAATTATTATTAAAATAATAGAAAAAGAATTTATGAATATTTATTTAAATATATTTATTAATAAAAATTAAAATAAACAATTTTTATTAAAATTCTTTATTATTTAAATATATTTAAATAAATATTCTGAAATTCTTTATATATCCTTTAACTCAAATTTCTGAATCAAGACCCTCCCCCAGCCCGGCAGTTGGCACAACGTCTCATTTTTTCGCAGCACTCCAGTGAGGTAGCACTCCGCTCTACAGTCGCTCCTTACTGACACGGTCAGCGACCTTTGGCCTCATGCCTCTGCTTCGCCCGCTTGCGAATACGCTCTTCCAGCGACGTGGGAGCATTCCTCGCTCTAGGTGCATCGGCACGGTCAGAGACCTGCGCAAGCGCTGACAGAGCCTGAAGCACGTCCTGCGATCAGGGGACCGTGGAAAAGATCCCAAAATTAATAGTGCATTTGTGATAAAAATAGTGCCAAGCATCCTCCTGGCTGACTGCTCTCCGAAGTGTGTGCGCGGTCGTGGCTTCAGCAGCGGCAGGTGCCCATGAAAAGGATACAAACATGCTCTGCAAGATCGCCAGCACCACTGGGAGGGCCATCGCATTGCCGGCGAGTTCTTGCATCAAAACTTCCGTTGCTGTCCAGGCCTGAGGCCGCTTCACTGCTTCATACGTTGCTAGCAGTGGCAAAACTGGATAGCCTTGACATATCATGGCTTCGCATCCCAGCCATATACGGGATTGTTTCTCGTACCACAGCTGCATTTTCGGCAAAATGGTCGGCAACACATGCACACCGGTGATTGAATCCAGTGTCGGGCTATTCACTCTGCCCACTGCTTGGGAGACATCACGAAATAGCAGCGACTGCGATTGGATCTTGGCCAGCCGTAAGGCATCTTGCTCTCGCTCTGTAAGTGTCTGGTACCACTCATTCTCCTTGAGTTCTCGGGGCACGGCTTCGCCCCAACGAAACTTGAGACTTCTTGCGAAAGACATGTGCGAATCCATCCAAGTCTGAGCCGTGGGTCCCGACTTTGCCTGGAGCTCCCTTCGCTTTTCCTGCTTTTTCTGGCGGATCTCCAGGTCAGAGACCGCAAAAGCATGGTCACTTGGAAGAAAAATCTCCGTGGCACAGCAAGGGGTACGTACGCACGATGACATGACGGCCCGTACCGTTGCAAACATGGATGAAATGGACCTCTCACCAAACTCCATGAGTGCCGAGCCCGCTGCTTTCCTGGGCGGAATACCGGAATACCGTCAATGCCAAGTTATAAGTTATAAGTATAAGTATAAGTTGCCGAAATAAAATGAATCAGTACTCTAGTACTACTTATTACTACCAAGTCGTCACCACCACTACCTACGACTACTACCTCTACCACTACCTCGCAAACGAGAGCAACCCGCTACCATTGCAACTACTGGGACTGTGATGTGATGTAATACCGCTACGACTACGGTAGTGGCACTGCCGCTGCCACGGGCACAACTGCTGCTACAACGACTACCTCTTCTCCAGTTAAAGCCAAGCATCAGGAAAAGCACGTACACACGCCGCCTTCTAGCCGGCAGCCCGAACATTGCAGCATCGCTCATGATGACTTGGTTCTCGTATCCACGGTTCGACATTTCTGCGAGCAGAATATCGAGATTGGAAGTAGCATCGCCCCTGTCGTCCATGGTATCTACATTCTCGAACACGACGATGCTCGGAGAGTGATTCTGCACATATGCCAGCATGCCACGGAAGGTTTGGGCTGACCCTCCCTTCCTAGGCTTAACAGGCACTGATGTCAAACGTTATCGTGACTACGATGTAGACTGACAACTAACGAATACGACTCACGACTTAAGACTTTAGTAGACGCAGAAACAGTAAACACTCAGTTCCAGCTGGACGTACTCGTCGCTTTTGGTAGCTAAGTTGCGAGGTCTCGCGCAGGAGTACCGCTTCCTTCTGCTTGTGTTTATTTGGATTTGCTCGTGACATGTCTTTGCAACTTGTCCCGAGAACCAGGATATCCACCGTTGGGATGGAACACTTGCCTTGCGAATCTACGGGGCCCGGGCCGCGGTCGGAGACCCTGGATGCCGTAGTCTGCTTATGCCTCCCATGAACGGCACAGCAAGCCTGATCTGCGCCCAAATCGCATATATCCGTAAATATGCATGGATCAACCTGTTCTTCTGGATCCACGTCCTGCGACGGCTCACTCCCGTCACACTGCTGTTTGATCTTGTCCATGCAGCCCCTTGCACATGAATTGACCATAGAAATCCACTCGATCTTTTCCTTGTTATTCTCGCAACTGAAAACATGCCTGAATGAAAGATCTTCCCCCCTCTCGGCTGCAAGGATACGTAATGCTTCAAAGCAAAACTTTATTCCCTCCGAACCACTACAGCAAGATGCCCAGGTCAGAGACCGTGTTGGCCAAATAGGGCGACCTGTCATCTCTTCTGCAACATCCGCATTCTCTCGCGCTGCTTGCAACAACCAAGTGCCATCACGCAAGGCTTCTGCTGAGATACATCGGGAGCGACCTTGCTCCATCCAGGATTCCAATTCGAGAGGGTCCACCGTAGCATGCCGTCTCAATTGTCGAGCCATGCCACTCAATGGATAGAAGGATCAATGGTCAATGGTCGTCAATGGGCCAATGGATCAATAATTAATAATAATCAGATACGACCCTAGGACACAAGCCAATACGATCTACTATTTAGCCCCTGATATCAGAATAGAGCTAGACTTAAACTAAACTTACTTAATGCACTCTGAAACTGAAGCTGAAGCCACACAGTTGATGAAGCAACTCAACCAATCATGCAGGCAAGAACTACTTGACTACTTGAATCAAGCACTGCATCATGCATTCATGTCACTCGCATTTTTTTCGGCCGCGACCATTGCCATCGTAGGCAGAGATTAATCTCAGATGAATCTGAATGCCTGGGATCAGCCTCTCTGGCTTCTCAAGCTTTGCCGCACATGACTTGACGTGAGTCGTTAGCGGCTGGCATCAAAATCAAAATGAGCCCAATCGGCGGCAGGATTAGGTACTGTCAGAAATCGACGGATTGTTCAGATTGAGCCTCCAGCCACACCCCAGGCCAGAGGCCGCCTCACGGATCATGCCGAGTTCCGATTGGCCATCATCTTCGCCAGGCCCATGCCGCTTGCCACGGGTTCCTTTCTGGTCTTGCCTTTTCCTCTTCCCTTGCCCTTTCCCGGCTTGGCCTTTTCTGCTGTTGCTGCTGATGGTTCTTGTTCTTGGCCTTCTTCGACAACACCACGACCGCGGCCACGGCCGCCACGACCGCCGCGACCACGACCGCCGCGAGCCGGGACAACAACAGGGCCCTCAGGCTGCGAGGGGGCTTCTTCAGCAGCTGCCTTTGGCTCCTGCTTTGCTCGCTTCGGCTCTTTGGGCATGGATTTCGACCTTTGCTCTTTGTGATCCTTCTCCTTAGCATCCTTCTTGTCCTTTTTATCTTCTTTATCCTTCTTGGATTTCTTCTCTTTCTTAGCCTGATCCTGATCCTGCTTGTCTTTCCCCTCCTTCTTCTCCTTCTTACCCTGCTTCTCCTTCTTCTCCTTCTTCTCTTTCTTCTCTTTCTTCTCTTTCTTCTCCTTGGATTCCTTCTTGTCCTTCTTGTCAGGCTTGTCTTTGTCTTTGTGTTCCTTCTTATCATTCTTGATCTTGTCCTTCTTATCCTTCTTCTCCTTCCTCTCCTTCTTCTCCTTCTTCTCTTTCGTATCTTTCTTCTTGTCGTCCTCGGGGGGCGTCTGGCCGGGCTCCTCTGGCTTTTCCTTCTTCACTGCTTTGAATCTCGTTACCCTGACCGTAAAATGACTAGAAGAGCTGCTAAGTTCGTCATCGTTCTTCTCGGCTTGGCCGGCTGTTGGCTCTGCAGCTGCTTCGTGGGGAGCTGGCGGGGGGCGGACGTCGATAGACGTGTTGCCGTCGCCCTTGTCGCCATCTGCCTCGAGAGACTCTTGGAGTTGCTCAAGCATCTTGCCTTCGGATGTGGGCGATAGTGGATTGGCCTCGTGTGCAACCACGGCTTCAGTTGATGATTTCTGGGATGGATCCGGGATCGGATGCTCCTGAGATGCCTGGGTCGCTTGGGTCTTGTCGGGTGTGGCTTCCCTTGCTGGCGGAGTTTTCTGCCTGGCTCGTCTGGTGGGTGTGGCTCCTTGCTGCACGCGTCCACGAGTGCCGTCTCCTTCACTCGTGGAGAGATTCCGTTGCCGTGACATCTCCTCATCTTGTTTAGCCTTGCACTTCTCCCACAGGCTCGGGAAATCCACCGCACACTTTCCCAGAGTCTTTCCTACCTGGGCTAAGGGCTAAGGTCTAAGGTCTAAGTGATAAGTGATAAGTGATAGATAAGTCTAAGTCCGTTTGAACGGTAGGATTGATAATTTATAGTAGGCTAGGATTTTGTAATTGTACTTGACTTTTGTAGTTGATAATTGATAATTTACAGACAGACCAGACTACAAACAGCTAAGGTTTTAGAACGAGCCATAAACTTAACTTAAGCGTCGAATTTTGTTCAACTCAGGCCGCGACAGCTTCTGCACATTCTTGACACAACCGCTTTGCCGACTCCGTGCGCAACTGGCTGTGCTCTGGGGTAACACACAAATCTTTCTCGAGAAGGGTTCGTAGTAGATCCTGTAAACTTTTGGCCAGTTTCTTTCCGCTGTCGGACTTGCTGCCCATCACCGGTGCCCGG